TCAGGCGCCCCGAGGCAGGGGCGTTCAGGCTCTGAACGGTTTGTCTCTGCGCGCGCTGCGGCGCTCTGGGTGTGACCGGGGGTTGAGTTACTCCTAAGGTGTTTCTCCGGTGACCTACGGAGGGGAGGCAAAGCTGGTGGGCATCTAAGCTTAATTCGCCTAATAAAATGGGGGTAAGTAGCAGTTGCAGCTTTCTGCTTCGCTGGTGGCTGCTGCACTGTAGGTCTTTGACGACGAGTTTTGGGGATTCAGGCATGGGCTGATGCATAATACTGTATCACTACATTACACACTGTTCAAAGGGTTTGGTGTACACAGACTGAGAAACAGGAGTTTAGATTATGTGGCTGTAACATGCAAATGTTTGTTTCTGTAGATCAGTTCGGGTATTCAGGTAGTTAACTGTGATCAATGAGTTGCTAAGCTGTTAAGGCATCTTGAATGATCATATTTTTTCAGAAGGCTATCTTAAGTAATCTCTGTCTAAAACTAAGCAATGACTAATCTTGTTAGTGATCTAATGAGAATAAGCTGACGATATCCTGTTCGTGGTTTAAAAATGCCTGTGTGAAGGTATAGGGATAAGAGAGCCATTTCAAACAACTTTCAGAAAATTTAGGCCAGCAAACCTGGATTCCTTCTGACCTGCACTGAGATTTGTGGTGCAGGTAGGGCTTGTCTCACCAAGAAATTATTTGACTACAGCAAGGAAACCTGACACCAGGAGAGATTGTGGTAGCTGCTGTATTGAAAAAAAAGTGCATTGAAAAAGGTGTTCTTTGAAGTGGCTTAATGGCCTTAACTTGTTCAAGAGTGATGCACTCTTGTTTACAAATGAGTATGATTCTCAGAGCATACTGTGTACTATTATGGTCCTTAACTTGAATTGTGAGACCATGTTTCACATGTGTGTAGAAGTTGTATCTTGCAGCATGTTGAAGGTTGGTAACTGGATATATAAAGCTAAATGTAGACATAGAACATTAAATACAATACAAGAGAGTAATACAAGTCAATATGGTAATTACATGAGTGTATTTAGTTTTGAATGCAAACATTAAATTTTTTTTTTAACTGATGTAATAAAAATATGGTCTTTTCCTACCGTTTTGCTATCTTTGGAGTTTTTTATGGACTAAGGACTTGGTCTCTTGGCATTCATGCTCTGACCTACTCAAAGCTTACTCAGTGGAATGCAGTAGTCAACTAATCAAACTTACACAATCACTCATACATTTTTCTGTAGTTATTGGTAACAGTTGGTCTGTGTCTCCAGGGTAATGTTAATTACAGCAGTATAGTTGTCTGAAAAGGGCTAAATGGGACACCCTCCAAATCTTGGCCTTTGGATCCCACCTCTTCCTGGTCCATGGCACTAGTGTTCTGTGGGCTGCAAAGACAGTGAATTGAATTGACTGACACTTATAAACAACAGTCAGATCTGGCTTAAAATATGGCTATGCAAATGCTCATTCCAACATGAAGGATGAGATGAGAATAAATTTCAATAATGTGATGGAAGCTTCAATTATGCTTTCTGGTGATGTCAGATTAAATGGTTTTTAATGTTTTTTATTTTACCTTTAAACAAGAATGTCCAGATGTGGTGGTTGTCTATGATGTTCTTCAAGTAGGCATGTGCCTAACAGCTCTTTAGCTCTTTATATCTATGGATAAAAAAATCAACACAGCTGGAGTTTTGCCTTTTCTTGAAAAAAACCACAAAACAAAACCCAAAACATGGAGGGGAGTTTATTCTGTAGTTAGACAAGTAACAAGTTTTGAGAGTATGTTTTCTAGTGTCTCTGTTATCCTCTGCAAACCCTGTAAGATGATGAGACTGCATACTTTAGAAATTTATGTAGTAGCTGCCTTAACAAGGTGAAGCCATATACATTTTGACCAGAGAGCTTGTGTCTTCACCAGGGAAGTGTGGGTTGTTTAGATCAGCTTCTGGGCTATCTTCCTGAACTATCCATTCTTTGTTTGAATCTGGTGCAGTACTTGTCCAGTCCAGAGAGGTTTGCCTACCTGTCTTAGGAAATAATCAGATTGTTTTCTTTTTGCCTGACCTTCAGGGATTATTTTTGCTCAATAAACCAATGTCTTCTTATATGATTGTAACTAAGAAGTTCGAAAGACATAACAATTAGATAATTTTGTTAAATACTGGAGTGAGGTGTCTTCTTCACTTTCAAGGTTCTTTTGATCAAGTCTTTTTGAAATCTGAAGCTTTGTCAGAACCTATTTTCAAAGTGTTAACATTCTCTGAGCACAATGTAGCTATCAAATTTCCTTAGCCTTTCTCAGGAGGCTCTTCTGTTGGTTTTTTTTTTTTTAAGGAGTATGATAATGTGTTTGGGTGCACAGATGTAAATAGTGTTTCAGGGTTTTTCAATGCTCTTTTTGAAGATAAGAGCTAAAGATTTTAGTACTGAAGTTCAGATATTCCCTCAGTGATCTGAGAAGAAAGTCTGTGAACTTTGTTCTAGCTTGAAATTATAGAACAGCAGAATCTCAGCTGCTTGTTTTATGCTAGAAGGGCACGTGTGTATTTGCACTGCAGAGAAAGCTTAAAGTGTTGCATTGAATGGTCCCTTTTTTCCTTTGTTATCAGCATAGGATGTGCGTACATTGAAGGCAAAATATCAGTCTAAAGAATTGCTTTGCAGTTGTGGCAGCAACGCAAAATTATGAGCTTGTCCCTGCTACTCGTTAGTTCTGTTGAACAGGTGTGTGAAAGTTTCTGTGCAAACAGTGTTGGAGTTTTTACAGAAGTTCTTAAAACTTTGCTACCTTTCTTTCCTGGAAGTAAGCACTCTGTTTTGTGAGGTGATTCTCATGAATGGTTAGTTCAAAACTGGTTTTAAATTCTATGCAGAGGGACAAAAGAATTAGTAAAGCCACATCTTTAAACAGATATGATATTGCTTAGGTACTTGTCAATAACTGTCCTATTCATGGTGTTCAGTCATTTTGCCTTATATTAGCCTCTGCCAATTGCCTTGACTAACCCGGAATATTTATTAACATGTATGCTTTGTTGTGGAATGTTTGGATTTTAGGTATGTGACTGTGTTTAAATCTGTAGGAGCTCAGGGGAAGTTTATCCACATGCAACAATTCACTTTGAAAACAGGAAGATAAAGGTACTGTGATTCTGAAAGAAGATGCAGTTTAAAGGCAGTTTTAAAATAGCACTTTTGCCTTTAGGTATCTCAGCAGAAGGACTTGCAGCTATGGAAGCCTTTGTTCCATCTCCCTCTTCTTGCCCAGGTTGTTTCCAGAAATCTAACCTCCATGTTGATAAGTCTAATAATGAGAGTTCTGATGTTGAGCATTATTTTAGAGCCACTGTTTGATTCTGTAGGAGATAGTTTCTGTGTGAGTAACTAAAGACTAGTTTAAAAGTGGCTTTGATATTTTGCAAAATAAATCTGCAAGAACATCTGCTCTTTGTGTAGTAGATACTTTCAAATGATGTAAAATGCTATGTAAATTTATCTATTGCATGCTTCATTTAGTTCAGGATTTTAAAAAAAACCCTAAACTGCTTGTCATATGAACGCTGTGCTGTGCCTATGACAAGAGCCTGTCCTCTAAAAGATCTTTGTGCTGCAAACCCTCTGCCAAAGTGTTTCCTATGAACACTTGATTTGTAACTTTCCATGTTATATTTTTCCAGGCTTTGCAGATCAGGTATGGCAGAATAAATACATCACCTAATGAACATGAATAAAATTGTAATATGTTTCAGTAATATTTTTCCAAGCTCTTGATTGAAAAAGTGTTTTTGTACACTTTACATAGCAAATGCAATATTGTTTGGAAGTTTAATTTACATGAGGTGTGGTTATCAGTTTCTCAAGTTAGACTATTAGAGTAGTTCTCAATGTCTGTATAATGCTAGAGGTTTGTATTCTAAGTCCCTGATTACACAGGGGTGCTGTTGTTTGGCAGTGTTAGTCCAAGCTGGAGCAATTCCTTGCCTGCTGAAATCTGTTGCTGTTTCTCTATTAGTAGACTAGCGTTCGGTATTGAACGGAATATGTTTTAACATAAAACAGCTAAGTAGTGATGAGCTGGGAAAAAATGGATGGAACCTCCTGACACTGGAGAATTTCTTGTTCTGGAGAAATTAATGTCAATGTCCCTTTGCACTGGAAAGGGGCAGAAGTCCTTGAACTTGTCTGTGGTCCATTTGACGATAAGGCAGGGATGAATTTGCTGTTCATAAAAGTCTGCCTATTGTAGTCACTGAAAGCTGACTATTTGCTAGTAAGCAAGAAGACTCTTTATTCTCTGATATTTGTTTGCATTTTATTATTAAAAGCTGCTAATAAAAATGAGATTTGATTCCTATTAGGTCAGTTGTTGTTTGTGTGATCATTTCTAAAACACTTTTATGATATAAGTATACTAAATGTAAACAATTTTTACATGAGTCTTGCAGTATGGAATGGCTTGGAAATTTATTAAGACTTACACTGAATGGTACTTTGTTTTTCTGATAAGACCTTTCAGAATTTGGAGTCAGTCTAATATGTGAATCCTCTGTCCCAAAAAAATTAACCTCTAAATAACCAAGCTGCTTAAACAGTTTGAATCGTTCTTAATTTATTTTTTCTTCCCTTTTTTAAAGGTGCATTTGAGCTTCTTACTGTTTCTCCATCGGCTAGCAGAAGAAGCCAGGACAAATGCTTTTGAGAACAAAAGTAAAATAATTAAACCCGACCACATCATATCTGCAGCAAAGGTAATAAAGCACTTCTAATATTTTTCATTTTTGTATAATGTAAAATGTCCTATGACAGCGTATACAAAAGTTTTCTGTGTTAGAGCTGATATTTTATTTATGATCTAAACCTGTAGAAACTTGATGTTCTTTAATCCATCATTGGTATAATTCACTGTTTCCAAGGCATCAAATTAACTCTCCTTGCCCTGTTAAGTATAACTCAATTTTTCTTGGTTATTCCATGTTTAAAGTCAGAGTTTCAGTATATGGGTAAGTCTACAAAGTGGTCTACCAGCAAGCATGATTGGGCTGAAATGCCCTCCAGAGTTGGAGGGTCTTTATTTCAGATGATGTTGCCTCAAGGAAGCGTGTGGTCTTCACTTCAGTCATATATATGAGTGAGGAATAATTCAGAGAGGTTCAAATACCTTTCTTACACCTTCAATTCTTACCTGCTTTGTCTAAAAGGTGTTTGAAGTAGATTCCTGCAGCGTTGCATGGATACTGCTTGAACAAACAGATACTTTGTGTGATGTATTCGTCAAGGGAAGAACTAAGGGAGGATTGAACTGTGGATTGCTATATGGGTAGTTCAGCATAATAAAAGTACCTGAAAGAATGTCTGTGAAAGAGGAATCTGCTGCATTACAGAGCATAGCGAGTTTTGTGCACGTGGAAAAGAAGGCAAAGAGGAAGGTGTTATGCAGCTTTCTTTCTCTAGAAAGAATTGGTGTCAAAGTATGACTAGAACTGTATTCTGTAGCTCATTTCACTCGCTAGGGTATGTCTCCTTTGCCTTGCTGTCATGAAGGAACTCAGTCTCTTTAATTTGTTTTTTGTTTAACCACCTACTACTGCGCAAATTGGAAGAACAAAACTCAGTGTTATCTGATGTTTGGGTCCTGTGGCTTCTGTTTATCTTCAGTATTTTTTTTTTCCTCTGGTGAAAGGCTTAGTTTGATACTTTGTATTACTATAGTAACAGAAATGTATACAGGATATGTAGGGTAGCCAAGTGAATGTTACAGTTGGAATCCTATGCATTTGTAATTTCTTTTTAACTGCAATCTTAACATTATTTGAACATTTTTGTGCTCCATTTATTTTTTTTAAGATGAGAAGAAAGGAAAATCTGCCTGTATTTTAACAATGTTAACACTTAAATAGTCCCACTTGGGCTTTGAAGTTCATTTTTCAATTTAAACTCCAAACCAAAAAATGTTCTTCCAACGGTCTGTGCACTCTTGATATAGAAAGAAATAAGACATTGCAGACAAAAGTTGAGCATAGTAGCTGTATAATTGCAAACCTTATTTTTTTTTCTTTTTGTCTAGGCCTAACAGGGTAAGAAGCTCAAGGAATCTACTGAGGGCTTGAGAGCACTGTTGCCATTTCTTAGCATTAATTTTTGAAAGAGGCCTTGGTTTTTTTTTTAACAGAATTCTTGCTTATGAATGTTCTTACGTAAAAAAAAGATCTGATATGGAACCTTTCTGTATGCTTTTGCTTTGTTTCTAGCATTTTTCCTTTGGTGACTCCACTCTTGGGAACAGGTTGCCTAGGTGAAGCTTTGGCCTGAGTAGCCTAATGTTTTGGATCTCTTACTGCTGCCTGAATTGTAATGATAAATGCAGTGATAAATATACTTTTTTCTTCTTTTGCAGGTTATTTTAAAGAAAAGCAGAGGCTAGAAACCAGAGCACTGGAATTTTAAAGAATGTTTTTCCATGTTTTACTAGCGTGAGATACTGTGAGCCAGCTTTTACACTTGTGGAACAATATAGTTTTATTGATGTCTCTCTCCTGACTCTGAATATTTTGCTGTTTCTTAAAAAAGTCCCAAAACCTTACAATTTTTACTTTCATACATTTCATGCATAATTTTAACGTGTGTCACCTTTAAGTTACGACTTTTGATGTACCTTATTTCTTCCATAATAATGAAGAAATGCCTATCCATAGGCACTCCTCAGGTACTATGTGGCATTTATTATTAGAAGTGTGTAACCATTAAAGGAGAACGGTAATAAAAAACCCACAGGTTTCAGTAAACCCATTATAGATTGTGCAGTTCACAGCAGATTTACTAGCAAAACAAAGTCTTGGCTTTCAAAACAATCACTGTAGAAACAAGTGTATTAAATATCTTGCCTTCAATTTATTTATACATGTCTTAATATTTTTCAAATTACTTTGAAAAGTAGGTTAAAACTTCTGTGTTCTGGGGAAAAAACACGTATTTAGTATTTTAAATTTGCTGTGAACGCTGTTGTTTGATGTGGTGTATGAGACAACTTGGTGGTCTGTAATTCAGTTGGTGTGGTCAGATGCACAGATAACGGAAAAGAAAAGATCTGGCACAGTTGATGTTTTCAAAGTTAGATCTTGTACAAATAGCAAAGATAAGTTGGCACAAGTGCCAAGCTATTTTCTCCCATCTTTTGAGTATCATTCTAAGTTGTCAGAAGTCTGGAAATGTACATTATCTAAAAATGTCTTTCTAAATTAAGATCATATTCTATTACTAATCAGTTATTTGTAACCATTTACTGAACACTTTGCTTAATAAATGTTTTAATAAATATATATTTGAATCTCACAGTTTGGGCTGATAATAGTTTTGTGGAGTATGGGGTAGCTGATCCTTCATATGCACAATTCTTAAAATAAAGAATCTTTGAAAGCATTATGTACTGAGTAGTCTGATTTTGTTTAATGCCTTATTGAGTATATTCTAGAAACTTAGCAAAAAAGAAGTGTTTAGGAAGTATTTTGTAGTCTAAAGAAACTAGCAATGCCAGTACTTTTAATTTCATATCGTGCCCATATACCTCTTAAAATCCTGTAGAACCTTGAAAACTTGTCTTCTTCCTTTCCTGCTTTACTTACCTCAGAGTTTAGTTCAGTCAACTTCTTGTAGGGGTTAACTAGAATCTTTGTTCTGCATTTTCTCTTCCTCCTTTGGTATCCACAAAGAAGGCTGAGAACATACACATGTAGAGGATATTTGGACTTCATAATCTGAAGTACGTTTTCAGGAATAAGGGCGATCTTGCTAGGTATTTATATTTTTCTTTGTAATTACTGGGTGTGGTTTAACAATTTTGTTGCAACACTAGATTTTCCTTTGTTAGAAATATTTTCTCTTAATTTTCCCTGAATTATTTTCATATAGTCTTGTATAACCGCATACCTTTCCTCATTGTAAAGTTGTTTGAATGCTATAGCTTCTTTTGGAACTTGTTTTGATGTCTACTTTAATTTTTTGATTTTCCTAGAAGCAAGATCCACTCTGAGCGTAGCGGAATGTTCTCATTCTCATGCAGTAGATCTGTGATCAGCTACCATTGGGGGAAGGAGGTGTTGTGGTTTAAGGGAGGGTTAAAACCAACCACCAGTGTAGTTTGAAGATATTTTATACAGTGGTTTTGGCCTGTATTCATGGTTAAGAAGGTGTCTTTTTGCAACGGGAGAGGGACTTTTGACATTGTGAATGTTTTCTAGTAGCTGAAGCTGGCAGGTGTTACAAAGACCTGGATAGCTCTACAAGTATTCAGGTTTCTCTCTTAAACTTTAAATGAATGCTTGCTCACAATTAGTGTGATCGATGTCATGTGCTTAAGCATTCAGGACTATAAAATACTATTATGTTTTTCTACTGTCATCTTCTTGAATGTTCACTGTAAGGTTAATTTTACATTCATATTTGGCAGCTCTTCCTTACTCTTCCATGTATATATGTCTCTACCCAGTACTCCTTGCTGGATTTTTAAAATCAAAGCTCATTACAACAGTTTTTAAATACCCATGAATACTTCCAATTAAGATAAACTTGGAGGCTATAGTAATAATCTATTTCTGTTATCAAATCTCTATTTAAGGACAAAGCATCAAAGCATGTAGTTCTATAAAACATCTTTTTAGACTAGACCTGTAGTAGAAGGCCTGATGAAGTTGTGTTCTTTTATTTGAATTCCTGTGTTGATTCTCTGCCATTAGAAGGAAAAAGGCAAGGATTATTGAGGGAAGCAGCGTCACGTTGGTGCATTAACAAGGTGTCTCTTCTACTCAACTGTTTTCCTGAAACTTTGAGAAATTTAGTGTTCTGAAACCATTGAGACAATTGACTCACTATTGAGTTTCCTCTGGTTTTAAACGTAAGATTCAAGAGCCTTTGGGAAGGAGGGGTGCACTAACAATACAATTATGACTCCTCATTTCCTCAGAAAGCAAGATAGAAGGCCTAAAAAATTAAAGGCACACTAAGACGTCCAGTTTTTCTATTCCCTTTCTTCTCTCTGCAGCTTTCCCAATATTGTTCTGTTTCAGATCCTATCCTGTCCTTTAACTATGGCCATCGATGAAAGGGGGAAGAGTCAAAATGAAGAAATCAAACAATTTGACACAAGTATTTCTGGTGGTCCTTTTCTTGATTTTTCAGCTTTTCATGTAGCTAATGTTAGTCCCTGGGACAGAGTGGTATCAGAACTGCTTAAGGCACAAAAGAAGAAGAAAAACATTTATTGATCAGGTGACTATGAGGGAAGAGAGTGGTGCTGCTGCAATTTTTGTTTTGTCTCGCTTAGGGAGTGACTGATGAAAGGAAATCTGCTGTTTGCCAACTTGAGTAAGTTTTCTGGTGAGGAGTATGTATCATTCCACCTCATGCTCACATCACTTTGCTTGCAGAGAAGATAGTTGTGAAAGCTTTAAAACTACATTAATGCATACTGTTGTTTTAATTTGTAGAGCATCTAAGTGTAAGATTTTTGAGTGGTCTAAGTCACCTGATTATTAAGTTTAAAACTATTTTTAAAACTGTGAATATTAAGAATGGTGTGTCAGTGAAGGTTAGGTCTATGGAGAGAACTAGCTACTCTAAGTCCTTATGGTGTCAACCAGAATAAATGGACTTGCATACTTTTGTGGGACCCAAATAATCACTGTCCTATTTGACTGTAAGGTTGCATCTGCTTGTTTGAGTGAGAAAATCAATATACATGCTGTAGAGGATGTTCATGCCATGGTATTTCATTGTACTTGTATGTGGAGAAGTGCATGACTGCTAAAAAAGAATCTCAAATTTTGTAATACAGATACTTAATAATTTCTGGCTGTAGTGATACAGTAAAGGAAAAAACTCAGAAATATGAATGCTGTAATAGAAAAATTCTTTTTCTAGCCATAAGGTGGGGATAGAGCAAAAACTGTCTCTTTCTTCCCTGCAGTAACTTTCCATTAGCTAAAGTATTCTGTTTCTTCCTGCTAAAAAGTATGCCATAGGTTGTGATGCTTCCAGATATTTTTTTGAAGATCACCAAACTTGTGCTGCTGACATATGTAGGGCAATTAATGTTTTAAAAAAATAAATCCCATTCACATCAAAAAAGTGTTCTCCTGATCCATGCTGAGAGTGTAAAAGATAGCAAGGCTTTGCAGGATCATGATTTTTATTTCTTCAAAGCTCAGTGTTCAGTATCATATAGTTCTCTTAATTATAGGTCTATGGTTATTTGTACAACATAGCCTCGTTTTTGGAAACTGGTATGTTCTATATACAGTTTTATGAAGGAAGTTTTTGTGCAAGGCATTGCTTATACAGCAGCCTTAACTATGAAATGCATAGCTCATATTGGCTGACTTGCTTACTTGGCATTCCATTAGTGTTTTATCAGCTTAGAGCAACTAATGACAGGACATGTAGCTCCTAAATACATAGGGTTTCGAGGTGGCTTGAGTATATCTTTAGAAGGTGCGACTTGAATTTCAAATACAAATGCTGATTACAATAAATCAAAATTTCTTTTTTCAGAGCCATAAAATACGTATCAAATTCAGGTTCTTTAGAATGTTTCAAATTGCTGTGTGTAGTTGTTTTTCAGTTCAATATTCTGTATGTATGTATTGGAATATGGATTCCTTGATATGTTTTAATGGTACTGAACTTGTAGCTGCTGTGATAGCTCACTCAGATATGATAAAAGAGCATAGTAGTGCAAATTTCTCAGATGACTGAGTAGTTTCGGTTCTAGGATGAGGAGATGCTGACAGCTTTTTAGTTGTGCAGAATACAGAATTGCAACTTTTTGAAGAAGTTGAGGAGCCTTCCCACCTGACAGCTTGTGGTTCTGCAGACATAATCAGTTGGAATTCATTCATTTACTGTTTGGTGAACGATGTGTCAATTTCTTTGCAGTCCACATTCATCAAATTCACATAGGCTTTGGCACATAATATTCTCCCGTGGGCTGGGTTATTAATGTTATCCTGACCAAACTGCTGAAAGATCTTTTCAGGTCATTTGATACCTGTAAGATCAAGTTTCATACTGAGAAGGTCATTTTCCTAGGGGAATGATTTTGGTGCATGGAGAACTTGGTGGAGCATAGAAAAACACCTAAGCAGTCTTAAAGTAACTTTTGGATTAAAAAAAAAATGTAGGCACAACTTTACTACCAGGTAATAATGTGACTGCAGCAGTTAAATTATAGCAGGAACACTTCCTACAGGAATGGCTTGCCCTTAACCTTCCAGCGCCAGGTCAGGCTCTACAGAAACAGACTCCTATTTTATTTCCTAAGTGTGTAGAATGCACAGAAGGATACATATGTTGCCAATTGAACAGATCCTGAATCAAAAATTATAGAAGGGCAAACAATTCCAAATAAATGTAATAAGGAATAGTGTTGGA